TTGCGAGCAGATTGCAGGTATAGACAATTAGACCTCTTCTACCCTGTCCTCTTTCTTCTTAGAGATAAGAAAACCAAGAGCACATATCTTGTTTGACAACATGGTAACTCTATAGCAGAGGAAAGATGTGCGCCTAGACCAGAACCCTCTAGGTGATGCTCCACTCCCATTCCTTTTAACACAGCTCCTCTTTTTCCTTTACTATTATTCACTCAACATCCCAGCTTTAGATCTCTAATGTTTCTGAAGATAAGAAAGGACTGAACACTAAAAGCCTGATACGTCCATTTCAAAATCTAGAAGAGCATCTTTGTACAACACGTACCAAGGAAAGTCTGATTTGAGCCACATGACATATGGAAGGATCTTTTTCAGAGAAACATTTCAAAGCTTTAAAGCACAGACTAGGAGCTTTATCTTGGAATGTGTCTAGGATTTCATCTACATCAGAGACAGAGAAGTAGTCTCTTTAAAAAAATCAAATTAAAGTAACATGTAGAGACTGTGTTAGGTCTATTTTAAATGGTTTGCATGTGTTAATTGATCTAGATCATAGAGTAAAGATACACGGTTATCTCTATTTTATACCTGATACAAGCTAGCCAAGGAGACTATAAACAATTTTTCCAAGATTAGCAGCTTAGAAAATAGAATAGAAACTTAGGGGTTCAGACTACAGAATCTAAGGTCTCATTCACCTTTCAAACCTTCAACATGTATTTTATGTCAGCCTTTTCCATACAGCCATATACTGCCTTATAGTGTGAGAAATGTGATACAAAATCATAGCATCCAAGTTCTCTCTGGTTTCAGTACATTCTCCAACTGGGAAGGACACTGTAGTTCTGTTAAGGAGTTACAGGAGTAAATTAAGATTGCTGCTTTTCTTAAGCCACGCAGTACCAAAACCTTCTAAAAGGAGTTTTTGACAATCAAAAACAGTATCTTTTTGTTTATTTCTCTTAAGAAGTCAGAGGTGTTGTTCATCATTAATCCAGGTACCACAATAAACATTGTTTTGTGCCTAAAGCAAAAGCAGAAAATTAAGCTATCAAACAGAAATACCAACCAAAACAACATTCAGATGCTGGAGGAGGTGATTTGCACAGCTCTAAGAACCTAAAACCCATAATTGGCTCCAGGAGTGCGGTTGTGTGGAGTCCAGTGTTCCTCAGGCCATGGGAGTTTGTGGTTAAAGACAGCATGAGTGTGAAAAGGGTCAAAAGTGTTCACTGCCAAGATCCATTAAGAAGGAAAGAATAAGGGCAGACAAGTGCTATTCCTATGTGGGAAAGATACCTCTTCTAAGTAAAGGGGACGTGTGGCATTCAAGTGGGGAGAGAAGCTGAGGCAGTTGGTCCTTACTCACTAGCAGCCTTCCTACCATGAGGCTGAACAGTCCCTTTTCCTGCTGCAATCTCTGTTTCCTACTCCATACAGTGAAAGTTTAAACCAGATGGCTCCTGAGTTCTGTCTTGGTTTGTGCTTCCATCATCATAGAGTGGTGTCCTTCACAGCTATGAATTTCTACATTGCCTTGTGTATATCAGAAAGATCAGAAGAAACTGAAGAACGCTTTGGACAGGAAGCTCAAAGAGAACTCTCAAAGCGCTGAAGTCCACATGCCAGCTTTGTGCAGACCTTCCCTGAGCTCCACCCGTCCCATTGGATCCCCACACTTTGCAACATTTTCGATCTCTAGTTTCCTCCTGCATGCATCCAATCCATGTAACACAAAGAGGAGAACCTGGTGTTACTCAAGAGTACCATAGAAATAATTGGAGTGTGGTTTCCATGCCAATAGTCATTCAGCCAGGTAAAGTGACAGGAAAGCTCTTCTCCTCAGGAAAGGAAAGAATGCATGCAATCATGGGAGAGAGGCAGGCACTCACCACTCCTGTCACCCTCACCAAAGGAGGTCAAAGTGTTACTGAGGCTGTGATGATGAGCAAAGACTGTGGTATTATGGGCAAGACAAGAAGTAATGAGGTTCAGGAGATGAAAGATGGAGGGGAAGTCAGCCAAATTATGTTCTCATGACTAGAATATTATACCAGAGAAGAAGAAGGGCAATATTTAAAGAGACAGAACTCCCATTGATTGCTAAGTGCTGACTAAACACCAGCCAGCCATAGGACGGAGTGTGAAGCCCTCTGGTTACCATCTCCAAGGAATGGTGTGAAAGTCTTGGAAAACTGCAAATAAGCCTTGTGACCCTTCCAGTATGCAAGGAACCACAAAGCTGAGAGCATCAAGTGTGAGCAGGAAATAAAACACGACAATGTGAATGTCCGTCAAAGTGAGGAAAAGGGCAATGGGTAAATGGAGTTATTCATGCACACCTTCAGCATGATTTTGCTGAGCTGTGCCTTTTACAAGTAAGTTATTTAGGGTGGCAACACCTTAAGTACAGTGTGAAAAAAAAGGAAGGGAAAAATGACATTTAGATGCCTCTTATTCCAAAAGTAGCAAAAAATCTAACACATACACACACACACGTGTGTGTGTAAGCATGCACATACAGTTCTTAATAGTGTGAGAACCCATTTGCACACCAAGGAGTATAAGGCAAATAATTCCCAGGGCTTCTTCAGCATGGCTGAGAGTTATAAAAGTTAGACTCTCCTGGAAAATTCTTTCCTGACCTCTCCCTTGAATATTTACAGATGTCAGCATTGATTCTATTATATCAAATGCATGCCTACCTGAATGCAACTATAATTCTAGAATTCTTAGGAACAAACTTTCTGAACATTTTCAAAATGCATTTGGCAGGAGGCCCTATGGCATGACACAGCAAAATTCATTTTATAGCCTGGATTATAACAATGAGTCGATCTCTGTGTTGTTTCTCTTTTTGCTCTTTATAATTCCAGAATTCTATATCCTAGGTATTGTGAGTACTTTCAAGGGCTTTGTTTAACTTTCAAGGGAAAGAGGCTTATTTCAAATCCTTGGTAATATTGGATACAACTGATGAGAACTTAGCTAAAAATGAAAGGGCAGAACTTCATCAATGTATAAAAGGTAATACCAAGAGTTGATGAGTATACAACTGTAATTTAAAATCATCATAATTTATCTTACAGATAAAACAATGATTTTCCATTATTATAGCAAAAGTGCTGATGAGTTAAAGTGATCCTGGTATTCTCTATTTTCTTTGGTTTCTTACTTCAACTTTTCTTGGTTGAAATTACTTCCTGTGCCTTATTTCTCTGCTTCTTTTATTTCAGTTTCAAAAAGCTAGTCCTCCAGCATTCTCAACCTAGAATTTTGATAAAACCACAAAAAATCAGAGAGGGTTTTGTCTTTCCTTGTTGCTTTTGCTGTTTTCCAATGCCATGAGCTATTGCCCCTCTGCCAGATGCCACTCTGCCTTGGAGCAAACCAGTTATAGACTGAAGCCTCTACAGACTGGGAGGTAATCAAGCTTTCTTGCTTTAACTTTGGGTGTTGGATATTTCGTCTCAAAAATGAGAAAATAACTAAGATAAGGACACATATAGTATATGTAGTTATATATGAAACATCCATGGAATATATATATATATATATATATATATTCTTTAAATATGTATATTTACATATATGTAACATTTTAAATGAAAAAATTTAAATGAAAATTTTTATTGCAGTAAAGGACATGTTGTCATTAATTCCACTCAAAGCTCACCTCCTCCCTTTGAATATACTTATCCCAGGATTCTTGCCACTTCCCTAAGCAGTTCTGGAATTCCTCTTCTGTGGATATCTTTATAAAGTATGATTAGAAATACACTGAATGATGCTGCCTAGTGCCATTCAGTAAAAAGGCAGGCTTGATAAAATATTATCGTGCATCCTTACCCACCTTATTGCCGGATCTGGCACCATGTGACTTAGGCTCTTCCCCAAAGTCAAAATGACCATGAACGAAATGTTTAGCACGCATTCAGGATATTAAATCAGCCATGGTGATAAAACTAAAGACATATATTCTCTCCACAATTCTGGTCATAAACCAACCAGTATAAGAACTGAATCTAATTGCTCCATAAGGACAGCATGGGACATAAACATTAAATTAGATTCGGTTCTCATCCAAGTTGGTTTGTGACCAGAAGAACTGAAAGTATCAAGTTCATAATGTAGGCACCACTATGTGTGTGTGTGTGTGTGTGTGTGTGTGTGTGTGTGTGTGTATTGCACTATGTGCATGTATGTGTAAATATATATACTTATCTGTTTATATAAATATGCAAATTCATAATACATATTTATATAAATAAACGTACAATATAGTCATATAGAAATATATATGTATATTTGTCCAACCTTTTTCTGTCACTGTAAGGTACATTGTTCTTTCCTGCCATCTGATATGAGTTCATAGAACAAATGTTTTTCTTTAAGAGAATCACTAGATTATTTTTATACGGCTGGTAGTTTGCTGACTGCATCTATGCACATAACTGAAAGGTACTGTTTAACCCTGAGTTTTAATGGGAACATGGCCCAGTCAGACCCCTCCACCAGCAGAGTGTCCCCACATACCAACAGGGTAACATGCAGCACATCCCACAGAACACAGGAAGTCACTGCTGAGCATGAGGAGACAGTGCTTATGCTGGAGGGATTTCTGCAGTTCAGTATCTGTTCTACAGCAGACTTTTCTTTCTCTTCTTCTTCCTCCTCCCCTTCTTCCTCCCCCTCAATACCCTCTCCTCCCTCCTCTTCTTCCTTCTTTTTCTTATTCCTCTTCTTCTTTTCTATCATAATGACAGTATTAAACCTGGGAATGTCTCATGTATCAAATGAGCATAAGCTCCTGGTCTTTACTATTTCATAGGTTGACTAAAATGAGAAAAATAAAAGATTACTTGTGCTACAATGAAAAGCATAAACATTTGAAACTCAGGCATACTTATTTCAAGAGTCTGCTTCTCTTCTTTGATGATATAAAGGAGGCCAAAAATTGAAAGAACAGAAAACAGATACAAGAGACAGAGACATCAACATAATTCCTCAATGCATTTTTATTAATTTTAAAAATTTTATTGCATATCTTGGCAAATAAATGGCTTATAGATTTGCCTCTGGCTCTCTAAAAGCCCATAACATAAAAATAACAAAAGACAAGCAACCAAAGCTTTATAAAAAGCATCACATCTATAAGAAACTTTTGAAAACATGAATAAGCATATAAAACTTCTGTCATTTGCTTAATTTTTGTACAATTATAAAAAATAATAAAAAACCCACATCTCTTTATTAGTCAACATTTCTAAGTACTATATTTCAAGGGAGAATAAACAAAACAAAAAGTAAGTAGATTCAATAAAGATAACTCTGTTTTGTGTTTCTGTCCATAATCTCCTCTAACATCACTCATATTTGTCTTCAGGTAGCTCCTTGGAGCTCACTTCTAGCTGTTAACCCTCAGTGTGTTTCCATCCTTGTCTTGGCTGCTCTTACATTCGAGGAGTAGAAGTTGCCACTGCATATGTGGCCTCCTATGGCTAAGGCCAAATTCTTGAGATCCTGGACAGGAATTTTTGAGTCCCTAGTGCCACTTCAATAGTGCTGAAATTGTTCAGAAGTCCTAGGTTTATTCTAACGCTCAGGATGACAGACAAAGCTATTTGTCTCTTAATCATGACCACGACACAGCTTTCAAATTTTTTCTAGTGAATTGTCAAAAGCTGCATGCTTGTTCCAGAAATTAATAGTGCTTGCAATCATTGAAGCACAAGAAAACGTTGAAATCGAGGACTCACTTCCTTTATCACACACACGTACACACATACAAACACAATAAAAAACAAGCGTCTCCTCCCCTCATCTGACAATCATGGCTATGTGTCTTAGCTGACATCATATTCTTCTTAAGTGGTGCTTCCATGAAAAGAGAAAATCAATACCAAAAAAAAAGTTTTCATCTATGGTTCTGGAAAACCTACCATCCCAAGAAGAAAAAAAGTATATAACTTCACAGGAAAAATATATATACATTTTGTGATGAGCTTCCTAAATTTGACAGCCACACGAGGCTTTTCTTTTTATTAAAATGGAAGTTTCTGTGCAATGACAGATCTTATTATCCACTCAGGGGAAAATTTTAGATAACAGCATATATCAAAATCTTTGCTTTGTATTTTGAAAAAGTATATATTTGTTACAAAGCATGTTTACAAAACACCCACTAAGATACCGTAATTTTTATATTTGCTGAAGGTTATGATACAGTTCTCTATAGATGGGGTCTAAATAATACCTTTCATGAAGAATAATGGAAACATCGAGAAGTCTACATGTAGCTTGGAAGGAATCATATAGGAATTTGGGACTCAATGTTACTTTCTGATGAACAGGAACTCTTACTGATCAAAAAGGATAATGATTTGCAAATAATGCCCTTAGAAATTTCATCTCATAATTTTATAGTTTCCAGACCACCATGGTATTTTTGAGCTCAAAGACAGAAAAGTAAACAGGCTTCTAAAGTTTTATGAGGGACTTTAAATGAAACAGTTACCACATATTGTCTGTGCTTCATAATAACTTTCAGGAATTTCAGTTCACAGTTTTCTTAGTTATCTTAATATGTAGTAGACACTTAGTATTTTGGAGTCATGCGGATATTTCCTGGTCTTTCTTGACAGATAAGCATTAGTTGAGTGACACTTACCCCAACTGAATCAACTTGAATTCTAACAAGAGTACTGAATCAGATTTGAGTTAAGCAATCTACTGGCTAAATTTAATTTTAAGGACTCTGTAATGGCAGCAAATGCTTTCCCAATAACTACCAAGGTGTCTAATATTAATTTCAAAGGGGTTACTGATATGCCTCAATGTGTCACATTAGAACTGGGTGCCATGGATCTATCCAAGATCTTAACCATGACCCACATTCCTCATTCACAATCAAAGGCAAAAGAAAATGTGCTGGTTAGCATTTGACAAAATGAGTATGAACCATTTCTTGTGACAAACACAAAGCAAATCGTCTTAATAAAAAGAATGCTACTAACAACATCTGCCAATACAGAGAATTATGAACAAATATACAGTCTCACCACATAATTAGAAATGGTAAATGCAAATGATTTTATCAAAAGTCACAATGTGGTATGTATATAGCATCCAAAGAGTTGAAAGATCATATATACCGCGGTCCCCCATTAAGCAGATCATAAAGCTCTAAATACCTACATCATGACCCAAGGTACCCCTGAGAAAAGGGGTACAGTTACGCTACTCAAGAGAAGTTAATTTTTTTTAAAGTCGATAAGTGCAATGCAATTTCCATTCTTTTAAATTACATTTTAAACAGTACTCAATGCCCCGGCCCCCAAATACATACTGTATATTTATATATTTATAATATATATAGTCTTAGACTATAAAGTTGAAAATGCTTTAGAACAGTCAATGAGAGATCCTGTAGCTGAAGGATACACCCACTGCTTTGTTTGCTCACTTCTATCTACCGTGACAACTTAGTCTGCAAGCAATAGCTTTGAAGGCTTAAAGCCGGAATCAGAATCAGATGCCAGGTCAGATGGTAGGTAAGTAGTCGCCCCTTACTTCTCCTTCCCTTAAGATGCTGGACTGAGAAAGGGAAGGGGAAGAGCTAGGGAGAAATGCTTTGAAATTAAGTATGCAGGCCTGCAAAGGGGCTGGACAGGCAGGTTAAACCCCGGGGAGCCCGCACACGGAGGGATTCACTCCCCTTCCTCTTTGATGCGCTGCTGCTTGTTGCGGCGAGCGTCCATGTCAAAGTTGAAGTCGTTCCACTCGTCGCGCGGAGGGAAGGAGATGGTCTGGCGCAGGGTGAAGCGTACAGCATCGATGACGCGCTCGCCGCGGGTCTCGCTGGAGCCCACGCTGACCGTGGAGGCCCCGCTTGGGGTCCGCAGGAGGTGGGGGGGTGACGAGAAGTCGTGGAGCTGCCGGTGGTCCAGGATGCCCTTCCAGATGGCGTGCCGGAACTGCTCAGGAATCTTTAGACTTGCCAAATCCTGTGCCACAGGAGAGAGAATCGGCAGGCTTAGCACACAGAGGCAAACTGGGATTTATTGCACGCCATCTGATCACGTTTCAGTGTTCCGGTTAGTGGCCCTGAATTAATTGACCCCTCCCCTGGAAAATAAAATGACGCTCTTCAAAGCTGTGGGCCACAAGCACAAAGGCGCCAGTCTGAGGGTCAGCTCTGGCTTGTGCATAATTATTTACTTATTGTTCTCCTGGGTTTTGTTTGTTCATTGACAAAGTAGAAACAGTACTTACACCGAGAGGGAAAAAATGTCAAACAAAAACATTAAGTACCTTCTGACTCTTATATTTGCCTGGCTCTGGTCAGCAGAAGAAGTGGATTAATAGGATGTCAGTAACTCTGGGATTGGGAAGTGAAAGAATCTCTCACTAATAGAGATTGAGTGCTTTCTATATGCCAGGCATTGAACAATTTGTTTTATATGCATGATCTCATTTAATCCTTAGATTAATGGTGGAGATTGTTATGCCTGGTTTATAGCTAAAAAAAAATTAAACATGAGAAAGATGTATAAGACTGGAGGTATACGATCAAGCTGCTTGTAACTGTAGCACTCAGGAGGCTGAGGCAGGAGAATTGCCATGAGTTCAAGGCCAGCTTGAACTGCATAATAAAACTCCATTGTCTAAAAAAAAAGGTGAAAGAAAGATAAAACAGAAAGAAGAAAAACAAAGAAAGAAAACAGAGTTAGACAAAGAGGGGAAAAAATTGTGGAGCCAGGAACCTAACTTTGGCCTGTGAGCCAACAGATGTCTTGATGTCTACACAAAAAAAGCATCAAAATTCAGAACAATTGTGTCCATGTTTTACAGATGGAGATAGAAAACAGTTCAACATTTCAAATAGGCCTAATAGGATATGGTCGCATCACTTTTATTTGTCTGCACTAGTTTATTTCAGGGATGGTTCACATGTTTTGTGACAGACGGGGTGGGTAGGAAGCACATTGTCTGCAGTTAGTGGACCTCAGCAGGGTCCTTCTTCTGCCACAGAACTCGAGGAGTCTGGCCCCAATTGCTTCTGCTAAAATTGGTTACAGTTGCCCTTTTACGTCAGCATATATTATGGAGCCAAATAGAAATGCAGTTGTTAAAGATGACTGTGTTTTTTAGCATTAACTATAACACATACAAGCCATTTATTATTGTTATTTCAATATTATCTCGAGTGTTCGTCTTACAAAGGCTACTAATGAAGACACACACCCCATCCATTGAAACTCATTTTTCTTCGAGAAAGAGATGCCAAGTTATTTAGACTAGTGCTGATAAACAAGGGGAGAAACAGGTACCCTCTTCCAGAAATGAGCAAGAAAAAGCCGACCAAAGATGAGAAAACTGTGTGACTTTCCAACATTTTCCAATTCAGAAACTTGTAGTGTTGCACAGTAGTCCCCTTGCTGTGGATTTTCAGGCCATTAGAGGTATCATCCCTGCCTACCACAGCAGAAAGACTACTGTAATAAAGGTGATACACACACAGATAAGTTAGCATGCTCTTTATGCTTCTTCTACTCTTTATCCTTTGAAGACTCTCATTAAACCCAAGGCTCTCTCTCTCTCTCTTTTTGTTTGTACCAGGTATCAAACTCAGAGCCTTGTACTTGCTGAGCTATATCCCTGGCCCAAGCCCAAAGCTCTTTGTAAACTATCCTTCATCAACTAAGACAAAAAAAGTATTGATTTATGGAAAACATTTACAGGTCCTCAACGCTGCAGGCTTCTCCTGACATGCTGTCCAACAGGGGCAAGCAAGCAACTAGTAAATATGACTTTAAAAATACGGGAAGATACAGGTTCCTTGTACTTTTGGGCAGGACTACCACAGGAAATGCTCAAATCTGGGGCAGCTTTGGTGTCTCCAGAAGATGCAAGTGATTGGAAAGTTATCTGAATCTTGTTGGGACCCTTAAAACTTTCTCTGTAGTTTTTGTGTATAATGTACTGTAGCTGCAGCAGCACCCAGGATTGCCTCATGGGCTGGTGAGGGATGGAGGGAAGGGAAGCAGAGTGTGTATTTTCCATCACAAGACTGGGGCATCCTTACACTCAGGGGCTTCTCTAGCATCGGTGCTCAAGGAGGGGATACAGAAGCAGCAGCAGAGGCAGAAACTACCTTTCCCCAGCAGCTCAAAATGCTCCCCAGAAGCTAGAAGAGAAGAAAGTGAACCCCAAAGACAGCAGTATCAAAGACAGGCTGGGAGGAAAATGTATGTTGCTGGAAACCAGAACATTAGCTCCCTTATGAGCAGTAGTTCAAGTAATGGGGAAGCAAGCAAGAGGGAGAATCCTTCCATTCAGCTTTTTTGTTTGATTTGTGTTAAATTACAGCTACTAGGAGAGATTTTGAATCCAGGTTGATCAGCTAAGGCCCAAAGAGGCAGTGATAACTTCAAATTTTGATTATTTCTGAAAAACATGGATGGAACCTTAACCCATGGCCAGGATCATTTCCACTGCTCAGGGATGGCTGGGCCTTATTCTGATAGAACTGGAAATAATTGAAAAATCATTTAACTGAAAGGAAAATCTGGATGCCCCCTAATAAAGTTGTATTTAATAAGATGCAGGAATGTCAATTAGGTTATAGACTAAAAGCTAATGTACCATTAATGTCTCATTATGGAAATGAGTTGTGAGAGTAGTAAGTTCTTTCTTCTATCCTCATTTGGGACATAGGCAGATGAGTGAGAACATCCAAACAACTCTCTGAATCCCTGGAGATTTTTCATTATTTTTAATTTATTTGATTTAATTTGATTTTGTTGTTGTTGTTACTGTTATGGTGCCTCACTTTATTGCTCAGGCTGATCTCAAACCCTGGAGCTAAAGTGATTCTCCTGCCTCAATCTCCCATGTGCTGGAACTAAAGAAGGGTGCCATCACACTTGGCTTGAGATTATATATACCTTTCTTGATGCTGGGGATTATATCTCTTCTTACCTACTGTACCTACAGTATGGCTGCAATAAATATGTGTCCACTGATCAGACACAATAAAGGGGGCTGATGGTTGAGCTTCTAATATTTATACTGTGTGAAGCCCTATTGTGCTTATGGGTTCCATCAGAACTGAAGATTAGGGGCATTATGAAAACAAATTTTAAAGCTTTGGGGGTTTGAACTACAAAGCATATGTCATGAAGGAGAGAAAATGAAAAATAAAACTCAAGAGAAAAGTCTAACAATTACTTACATCCATGGAGTAATGCTCAATCTGATAGATGGTGGTCAGCCCCTGGGTCGTGAAATAGTCCAGACATGATGAACAGCCCAACCTCGCTAAGAAACTGCAGAGGGAGGAGGGAAGAGGAAGGAAGAAACAGAAAGTTCACCCCAACAGCATTGGCGAGATAAAGGAAAATCCAACATTTTGCCCTTGGATGCCCTACGTAAGAGACTAGAAGCAGATTAAATACACGTGGAACTTGGAATTGAGGGTTAAAGATGATTAGGTAACTTGGCTTTTAGGTTCATGGAAAAATCAAATAGACTCAAGGTATTCTAGCAGATCACACATTTCGACAATGAAATTCTTGGGTTGTGTGTAAAAGTCTTAGGAGCTATTGTAGGGGGTGAAAGGTCAGAGTCCCAGTTCTTTTGTGTCTGGACCCTTCTCTGCAAAATGAGCATCCCTGTTTATATTGTTTTGCTTTAGGGGGTTTCTTGAGAACGGTTTGTTGGATTAAAAATATGGTAGGGTGCTACTCCTGAAAGTTTTCACTGCTTCTTGAAATTATCTCATTTGTGTTAACATTTAAATGTTCTGTGGACATCCAACTCCAAAATAGTGGTCCCATGGGGACTGAGAGCTACGAGGCCTAGAGAGCAGGAAAGGGAGCGAGATAGCAAGTTTATTGCTCTTCCGGGAAACCCAGCCCTGAGCACCAATCTGAGGGCCACAATGGACAGTCTAAAAAATGTGAAGGAGGAGGAGGAAGGAAATGAAGATGGGGAAAACAGGCGTAAAACCTGCATGGATATAAAAACATATAGTCACAGTGCCCCGTGTTGATTACAGTAGTCCTCTTTGATTAAGCTATGCCAACCACTGCATAGATCGGAGAGAACCGTGAGTGAACTTCAACCATTGGGCAGCTTTCTTTCCTTCCAGCTGTGGTGTCAGCTTTGACGGGGTCCACCCTCCACCACCCAGAGATGCTGAGGACAGGCCCCAGGAGCACAGGCTCTAGACTCACCTGACAATGCTGCAATCTGTGGGGTACGGAGGTGGGGGGGTGCAGTGGGAGGTGGATGGCATGGAGAGTGGGGGAGGGAGGGTCTGGGTGGGGCTGAGTCCATTCATGTCTCCAGCCATTGGCATGTGGGTGCCCATCATAGGAACTGAACAAAAGCAGGAGGAACAGAGAGGGTTACTGCTGTTATCCTGTACCAGCATCCCGGTGGTCCATCTTTCCTGGTTCAGTTTTAGAAGAGCCTAAACCACCAGCCTTGCTTTTCTACCTCACCTGTCTCTCCATCCCTTCAAATACCACACATCTAGTCAAACAGATACTAGACTCCAAACTAATTTCACACTTGGCCTTTATTCTTCTAGAGCAGTCTCTTCCCATCCCTTTTGCTACCTCTATTTCTCTGTCCAACTGTTTATTTCTCTTAATGATACTACTCTCCTTTGTATTGGCCTTTGGGATTTATATTTATGTCTCCCTCACTCTACTAATTTTCTTATGCCCAGAGATTAGTTCTTATACATGATTTGATCTTTACAGAGCTAGCACAGTACCTGGCATAGTCAGACCCTCGGTAAACTTAGGGTGAGTGAACAAATGAACAAACCTGGGAATAAGACAGTGAACTTTGGAATATGTGTTTGGAAACAGAGGTCTCACTGCATTATTTCTAGGGAACGTTGGCTTAGTAAAGAAGGGCATAATGAAAAATTCTAACTTTTTCTTGTGGTCCACATTGACATTATATACAGGAATGCCACTAATACTTATTGGTATTTTATTAAAGTGTGAATAATGAATAACTACTATTGAGAAGAAGAGCTTAATATTAATCATTTTATAAAACAAATTTTTATTTTAGTTTGGGAAAAGAAATACAGATTATATATTTACAGCAAGATGAATATGATTTTTTTTGCATTATTAAACAGAAAGTTTCCTAAGGAGAAAGGGCTCTGTCACTAATCAAACTCAGGGAATCACCTGATTGCATCTTAGTCTGCTTCCCTTAGTATTCCCCTGGTGATATCAAAGATAATTGTAAATTACAAAGAAGGCAAAGTAGGAAAAGTGGAAGTTGTGTAAATATGAAGCATCATTACTTTTACTGGCACAGTGTCATCATCCCAAGAAGAAAGTTGGGACATCTAAGATGTCACAAGAAAAAGAAAGAAAGAAAGAAAGAAAGAAAAGAAGAAAGAGGAGCAGGAATGGTTCCTGCTGTTTTCACTCCCACGGCCCCAAATCTCTCAGGGGTCACGGTTTGAAACTTCAGATGTACTGGTCACTAGGGACGGGGTATTTTGCTCTAACGATGTTGTTCTGTCTGGCAACCCTTTGGCATCCACCCCCAGTTTCCTGAAATATGGGCATGCTCCATCACTTATTTATTTCAGAAATCCTAGATTTTTATTCAAAGTAGCACTTAAATACAAAATTAAGTGCTTGATCAAAATAACTAGGAATTTTAAAGGACAAAACTATAGGCTAAGAATTATAAGATATATGTGCAGTGTTCAGTTTTTTGCATATCTGAAGAGAGTATGCATCTTTCTGCATGTTTACCATCCTTTCTTTCTTTAAAGTTTGTGTACTTACTCTGCTAGACTTAGTTCTAGCAAACCAAATATAAAATAGGATAATATTATTGATAATGAAGGGATACAACAATCATCATCCATGTGGAGCCAATTCTCATTTTGCTTCGTACTTTCATACTTAGTTAACATGAGGAATCTGTGTGTGAACAAGCAAAGGTCATTCCCTTCCATACACTTCGTTCCCGAACTCTTGTGGAATAGAGTAGATGAGAATGCTAAGACTGTCCGGACGTAGCTTTGTAACACGTTAAGTATGTAGAATCATTACTTTATTGGATTGAAATTTGAGTTCAGAGCACAGAAGTGACTGTTCCATAATGCCACAGCTAATTTTTTTTTTAAAAAAACAAGAATCCAGATTAGAATCCCTTTATTTACAGGTTAAGTTTATGTTACTTCCCACATATTTTGTGCATTTTCAGTTGACTATCTTAGAGTTGGGAGGGGAAGGGCCTCCATCCAGCTTGGCAGTAAGCAGACAGTTCCCTCATAGAGATCCTTGTTCCTATTGACACAACCTCCTCCTTCATCTCTACTAGTGTGTTTCACAATAAAAACAAACACTTCAAGAGCAAGGGGTTTACTCTGAGACAGGAATTCATTCCACTTGGGTCTGATCTGTATCACCGTGCTTCTCATCTGGCTTAGGAAAAAGCCTGTGCCCCATCCCCAAGCAGTCTTCTCCTACATGAGACTGCTCTTCCTTTAGATGCAGGAAAGGGAGATGTGCTTACTGTTGGCTCCCATGCCGTCGGGGATGGTGGTGGGGGTGAGGGCGTTGCGCTGCTGGGGGTTGATGAGCTGGCTCACCGAAGGCAGCTTGTTCATACTGTTCATTTTGTTCAGAGGCGGGGAGCTATTACCGTATGAAGACTGAGACTGCATTGAGGTCCTAGAAACACACACAGGGGGATGAAGGTCAGCATGGGACACTGGAGAGAAGGGATGCATTACTTCTAACATGTCACAGATTAAAGTACGGTCTCAAAGCATACACCTGCGATAAATTCCTCCAGCATGAATTACAAGAAGTTATTTGTGCTTCTAGTGGAGAATATTTCCTGGTTAAGAAAGGATTAAAAAGCAATGACTGGATCGTATCATTCCTGAATGTGTAGAGTACACAGCTTAATATCTTTCTCAAGCATCTCCTTTGTGAAAAGGAAAATAATTACATTCTCTTTTTTTCTCTTGCTGTTTTCTCCATCTTTTATCTCTCTCTTATTCTTGAACTCAGTAAGGGACAAAAAACTGAGCAAAGACACAAAGGCAATGAGGGGTGTGGCCTTGCCAAACTCAAACGCAGCAGAGGATCCACCTGTAGCTTCTCAAGCCATTGGGGATATACAGAAAGTAACTGGGAAGCCCATCATCGGGACACTTGGCTTGCTTACTTCCTGCCATCATGCAGAAATCCCAAGTTAGAAACATGCTTTCTCATCTGGGATGCTCATGGGCAATGAATGGACCCATCTCAACACCAATGGCCTACCACAGGGGAGAACCCAGGGGTGCAAGTAACTGTTCCATTGACCTCCTTTCTACAAGTCTCCTAGAAAAGGGGAAAACGAAAAGAAAAGGGAAAAATAACAGTTTTCTGTTTATCATAACTCTCAGTTTGGATACTGATTACAATTGGCTCATCATGTTTTTTTTTTTTTTTCTTGTCTTTTTCCTTTTTATCGGTACCGGGGATCAAACTCACGACTGCCTGCTTGCAAGGCAGGCACTTATGCCGCTGAGCTAAATCCCCAGGCCCTCCTCATGTTTTGTACTGTTGTTAGAGATGAGTTTTTATAATTGGCCGATATACCTTTTCCTTTTAATATAAAGCTAAGGTGGTACACTAAAACAGGGTCAGATAATCAAAGTTTAAGCTCTCCTCCCTCATATAACAGAAATCTAGTGCTCTCTCTGTAAAGTACTTAACACTTTTGTTTTTGTTTTTCAAAGAGAAACTATAGAGGCTGTAGTTATAGACCCTTGGTGTTTGTATTAGAAGTTAGAACTAGGAAAAATGGATGAAATGACACCCTCTTTGAGACGGTCCTAGAGGAGCAGCTACAAAGGGCACAGTCACGTATTCTACCCTGAAAGGCTAGATGAGAACTAAAGAGAAGATGGGGACAATCTGGAGCATTTACAGGAAGTCCTTATTTTGATCATGAAATGAAGGCTTGACTGAACATGTTTCTGATCTGGGGAGAGAATACCTCCCCTTTAACATTTCTCAAAAAAAAAAGTTATTATTATTATGCTATTATTTGCCCCTTTCCTGTTTTTGCCATAGTCCCATTAAAAGAACAAATTCTTTTTTTTTCTTTGGGTTTTGTTTTCACACATAGATAGTACAAATTTTAGAGACTTTGCAAATGAAGCCACCTGGCAAACAAACCCAGAGAGCAATGCTTGAAAAAAATTTTAATGGCTGTAAGTACCTGAGTGTGACAGGAGGTGGCCTTTAGAGACACCAACCTGTATTCTCCATAATTTCCAGGAACGAGAAAAGCCTCTACTCCTTATCCCTGAAGAGCACAGTCAGGGTAAACAATATGCTGTACATTCATCTGCATAAATTAGCATGAGCTTGTAAAATCCACAAATCCTCAGCTCTGTATAGTCCTTGATGCCTTTAAGCTAGCAGGCCATTGACTTTTTTTTTTGTTTTTCTGGAACCCTTCTCAAGTACTCGACATATGGACTCAAAATGAATAAACAGCTGTTCACACAATAAATCCTCTCAGCTGTATAATACCCCAGGATGCCCAGCTCTCTTCCATCTCTTCCATGTTTTAAGTGATTATGACAATATTCCTGTGGCCATTGTCATGGCATGGCAGGAAGTGGATAGGAGGAAATTATGATTAGTGTTATAGAGATGACTATATATGAGGCTCAAAGAAAAAACAAAAACTTGAAGAAAAACAAAACAAAACAAACAAACAAAATCTCTCTGTCTCCAGGCATCTACTACAGCAGTTTTTTTCTTTCCTTCTGTTACACTTATTTAAGAATACAACCCTTGTGGGCAACAGGGTTAAGAATCAGGAAGCAGGTGAAGTGATAAGCATATTATGGATGACCAAGGTAGGCAAGAACCAAGAACTATAGTACAGGGAGTCACTCCAGCGTCTACCCAGCACTTTCTATTTCATTCTTATGTGGGAACCTGGTATAAAAGGACAGTTCATTTAGATCCATGTAGGAACATCTGTAAGTCCCTCAGGACAGCAGAGTCCAGAGTAGAGCACTGAAGAGATGCTTTGGTGGCTCCTATTTCTTTACTGTCCTTGCCCACTGCAAAGTAGTTCATATTCCAGAAGCCGGTTATGCCCTCTAATTTAAAGAAGCCTCCACCTGTCTTCCTAATTTTTCCAAACCAATTGAATACAGCAAGCTATTATGGAAATGGTTTGAGCCTTCAGTGACCATGATGGAAAAAAAATATGTATGAGCTTTGAATTTTTTCCTGAATCCTCAGTTGCATTTAAGGCATTCTGTATCCTATTACAACTTGTTTTCTCTTGGGGTCATTATTTTTGACAGTTGTATTAGATCATCTATTATTGTTTGTTATTGTGGCTATTTTATTAGTTTATCACATCAGAAAGCACCTAGTCTGAGAAGGTAGGTCTGACATCACAGATGACCAGAGAGGATCATAGATTCTGAGTCAGGTGGATTATCAAGGTCGTCTTCTGGATCTGACACAAGCTAATTAAGTGACTTTGGATGTTATGTAAGTCTGTCTTGCATCCCTCTTAATCTTTAAATCAGGTATTATGCTTACTTTGGACGAGTTGCTAAGAGGATCAGATGAGATCACTTAACAGTCCTGTGTATCATGCCGTGATTTGTAGGTACTCCAGCAAAAACTGAGTCTTTTTACTCTTTCCCTATGAAATAACTAATATTCTAGTATTTGCTCGAGGTGATAGAGGTACCAATTTATGTACTAATAAAAAGAAACAGCCTGAGGCATTGAGTCTTATGTCAGCAAATGCAGAAATCAAGATGAGCAAAGGTGTAACAGTGGGGAAAGTTCAGGGATTCTCAACGCAGTCCGGAAGAGACTCTTAAAGCTGCAAAGAGTGAAATGAGGGCAGTGTGTTTCTTCATGAATCCCCAGGACCCAAACTGAGGATTAGGTTAATACCATCTCCTGACTGAACTCATGGCCCACTCATGAATTCATGGTCCTTACAAATATAATGTCACTATACTTGACGAAACAGTCTTCAAACTTTCTCATGAAATTTAAGAGAAAGAAATAATATTCAAGGAAACATGTTTGGTTGGTTTGTTTTGGTTGTTTAAGACAGTGTCTTGGGGCTGGGGATTTAGCTCAGGGGCATAAGCGCCTGCCTTGCAAGCAGGCAGTGGTGAGTTTGATCCCTGGTACCGATAAAAAGGAAAAAGACAAAAAAAAAAAAAAAAAAAAAAAAAAAAAGACAGTGTCTTATACTATCACCCAGGCTGGCCTCAAACCATAGTGGTTCTCCTATCGCAGCCTCTCCACACTTGCGAACACAAGCAAACGTTATTACCACCCAACGCAAGTATTGGTTTTTATATCTTATAAGATAAAAAACCTCCTCCCCAACCAAAAGCCCAAATATCAAAAATGTGAAAATGTAGTTCTTCTCAGGGCAAATAGTTTACATCTGAGATTTTTTACTTTGGAGTTCAGCTAGAATTTTCTAGGAACTCACTGTAAACAAAATATGGAAGGGAATGTCTCAAATGTCTCTGTCTTGTTTTGAGAATAAGCCCAAGTGGAACCAAGCCCTAGTTCACTCCAACAGCCTAAGCTTCTGTGGACATGCTAAAACTAAAGCACAGAGTTTCAGAGCCAAAAATAGCTTTAGATGATACCAAATGGAAATAAGTTTTCCCGATTCCAACTTTAGTGACTATTTATGTGGCAGTGTCAAAATCTGACACAACGTTTATCCTTTATTGTTTCAAAGAGCCCTGTGAATCTTTCTCTGTTAATTAAAAATTAACTCTTTAATAGAATGTAGTTATACTTCAGCCTATGTATATTCCTTCAAACAATTTCTATAGTACAGACTGTGAGAAGGGAAAAGGATGCTAAAAAAAAAAAAAAAAAAAAACCAACAACAAAAAAGCAGCAGAACACTCCTAGTATGAAAAATATTAAAACAAAAAAAAGGTGGTGGTGGTGATTGGAGCCTGGTGAGGCTTGAAGCATGAAAAAACGGAATTGTACCTTTCCTAAATTCCTCCTAGCTAGCATTTCCTGTGACTTATCTTTCTAGCTGAGTAATCATGCTTCCATAAACAAATGGGAAAAAAATGATATGTGTTATGTACATGCACCAATTCCCCATGAAAAACGTAATCATTATGTAATGGAAACAGACTAATAAAAATTAAAAATAAATATAAACTCATTAGCTATTGAATTAATATTTTTAAAAAGTACATCATGGATTCCCTAGTAGATCAGTTGTAATTTTCAAATAAGTTTCAGCATTTTTGCATGAGATTTCCATAAAAATAAGGTGAAAGAAAAAAGTCTGTAATAAAACAAATATTAAACTAACCCTTCAAATGACTTGTGACCAATTGAAAACACTGCAAAAATAACAAGACCATCTGATTTTACTAATGTACTCTTTGTGACTATTTACAGTAAGTAATTATTTAAAAATTTTTTTTTCCTTATGTACCTATCTAAGCTACTAGATTAGTTTAGAACAAATTCGTTTGGAGTTTTATGAGCTTGGAACTAATTGGAAAAACAAAGGCTCCATTATAGATTTCCAATCTAATTTTGCTAAAACTTTTGTCATAGAAGTCAACTTTTTACTAAACATGATTTAATTTCAATTAATTTTAGTCACTTTGTTACATTTTGTTAACATA